TGTAAAAAGCCATTTGTTTTCTTGTTGACCATTTTCTGTAGGGTGTCTTTTTCACCGCTTTTCGTCAAAACTTTAGTATTTAAAGCGGAATTCTTGCATTAGATTATCTGCAAATCTGTTTGAGTCATAGAACAAACGTTCATTCTTATGAAGACGACAAAATATAAGATCGAAATAAAGTGGACGCCAATATGTATAAACAGCAGTCAAGTGACATAGAAGAAATTCTCGAAACGATTCTCTGATCAAAAGCTTTGATTAAAGTTAAAAATGAATAACTTATACAAAAAAACGGCCGTTTTATCGCGTATTTTTTCTTTCGAAACAAAATTAATAGCAGACTCACATTCAGCGCATACTACTACTAGGCACGCACCGATTTCGAATAATCGAACATTAATTATTCGAAATCGATGCATATCTAATTCTGATCCTGTGAGAAAGAACGTTTGTCTTCTGAATCAAGAAAATTTACAAAGAGTCTGATAGCATACTTTTATTTATTCAAGTCTTGGCTTTCTAACTAAGGTATAGCATTGAGACTCATAAGGATTATAAACTGTCTTCTACTGTTCCATACTTTGCAAAAAACATCTTTTTATGTTCTGGCTGTGCCTTAATAACTTGAAATTTTTTGTCAAATCTAACGTAAACACAATTATTGTAATATAGTAACAGATCTACTACACATTTTTGAATAGTGTTGAAAACTGTCTCAAACTATTCTCGTTTCTTCAAATAATTTATTTCCAATGCGTACATATTTCATGAATGCAATAAAAATATGGGTTTTATTTTCCTAACTGCTAAAACATTTTTTGACGTTTTGCAATGAATAAGACTAAAGTTGTTTAAGTTTTAATTTTGAAGGAATTAAACTACACATTAATTCGAAATGTTATTCATCTAACGTTTTAGTCATTAATGATCTTTCGTGTTTACTACAATACTGCTTGATATAACGCCGCTATTGAGTTTTGAACAAAATAAACTTTCATATTTTAAAATACATTACACTTGAACACGACAAATAAGTTAGAAAAATATTCAGAAAAACAAAGACATTCATTTATAATGTACAGAAAAACAGATCATATGAAGTAAAACATAACATATGCAGCTTAAATCGAATGTTCCCGTACTTTTTGCTCACTTTTTCAATATGGCAATCGCAGTAGCTGCTAAACCACCAAAAATCAACGTTCTTGCATCAGTACTAACTCTAGCATTAGTTGCACCGTCAATATTTATACATCTTTCGATTTTGTTTTAAATTTGATGCTTCATGGTTTGGCGATTGAATATATAGTATAGTATCTAAATATTTCAAACTTCATTCATAATTTCTTAGTCGTGCTTCTTCAATAATCATTTAACAGATGTAACCTCATTTAGTATCATCTTTAATTGTTTAATCATCCAATCATCTTAAGATAGACAAACCATTTCATATATCATCTTTGGATTTACTTTGTGCAAGCCAATAGTAATAGAAAAATGGATTTTCTTCAATTAATTGATCAGATTCTTCAGCTTTCAAACATAATGTATTATATTTTTTTAATTCTTCGGGTAACATAATTTCATCCAACATATTTGTCATAAGTAACAAAACACTTGTCGAAAACTGATATTTTAATTAAAGTTTTGTTCTGCTGTCTTCTGCTTACAAACTATATTAGTCACCAATTTGTCCAAAAACTTTTATAAAAAAATTTTTTTTAATGAGCAATCTGTAACATATTGGTTTAATTCCTAACCTCTAGTCGTAGTTATCAGAATAAAAGCATGTATTAATTGATGTAAAAAAGTTTTAAAAGTTGTAAATGAAGTTTACACAAAATGTTAATCAAACACATTAAAATCACTAATTTATCTGCAAATATATGCTTTTTTGTGGAAAAGCAAAAACTTAAAAGCTCGTGCAAGTTTTAGGGAAAATTTCCGGTTGGAATATAAGTAAATAACACGTTTAATTAAATGATCATCTTCTACCGCTCACAGTTCCTTTAGAACAAATACGTTAAACAATTTCCTGTTACAGATAACTTACCGACTACAACAGTAAATTATTAAACAAGCGACTGTCATCTGTCTTAGTCTCATTTTTTGAAAAGGAGAAAAATTTAGTAGAAAAAATAGATTATTATAGTAAAAAGAACCACTAAAATTTGTTCAGTTAACAAAACAATAAAACGAATGACAATACCCATAGCAAAACAATTATAGAAAAATATACACAGATCTTGGACATAATAGAGCAATAGACTCTAAAGAAAACAACAGTGAAGATGAGAGAGCAGAGAAGAAGCCTAATATGAGATCTTTTTGTAGATTCTATCATTCCTTTGGATGAGAAGAAAAAAAGAGTTTTGAGAAAAGTCAGATCGTTTTCCACTGAAGTTTAAAAACGCGATGTGTTTACAAGAATGAGTAAAGCTACCAAACATTATTCATCCGTAATAACGGGTGCTATCGACACACGACTTGTATCTGCACAGTTTTTATCATAAAATTGTGTTATATAATTTGCAATTTTTTCGCCTTGATCTAAACCCATAAAATGTCCACACTCATCGAGAATTATAGCTTCTGAATTTGGTATGATTGATTTGAAATAGTCTGCACCAGAATATCTGTACAGTTTATCATCTCGTCCCCATAATATTAATGTTGGACATGAGATATTCTTTAATTCATTATACGATTGTTCTAATTTTGGATACTCTATCGATAATAACGAATCTAATACTGAAGAAAAAAGAATATAAATGACGATTATAGTTGAATATACGCATACAAAGATTCTTTTACCTTTTCTATGTTGTACAATACTTCGTTTTCTTAATTCGAGAAATCCATTCATCAAAGGTCCTGGGAAATTTAATTTTTTTACACTGAATACACTGAGCATGTTTCGAAATTGCTCATTTGTCTGTGGTAAAATTGTTTCATAACAACCGAGACGTATTGATCTCGCTAACTCAGTTTCACATGCTTCGTTAGCTGCAAAAAACGAAATTTTATTAATCATATAATATTAATTGGTATATGAGAGGTAGCCAGTTTACGCATAAGAAGCTTGCTATAAAAGTGCTATAAGTCAAAAAATTTATATAATTTTATTTCTCAAGCTATCTAGTCTAAATTGAGAAATTGATCTTCAGTAAAAAGCTAACGTAGTAAAATAAGAAAGAACTAACGTAATTTTAAAATACGAGATCAAGACCTACCTACCCGGCGGAGCTAATAAACAGACCATGCTTACATAATCGGGATATCGAGCAGAAAACAAAGCTGCTATCGCTGCACCCATTGACGAGCCTATTAAACATAATGGTTTTTTTGTATCTATTAAACCAGAGCAATCAATGAACTATAGATTCAAATAAATATTTGTAGTTTTATGTCAGGAACTAGAGGCCGTTTACATACAGTTTTTAATACTTTAATAAATCCATCGATTGTATAAGTCTCATCACAAATTGTTTCACCATGTCCTTGTAGATCAACCATGATACAATGATAAGTATCAGGAATATTCTAAAAGATAAATTTTATAATCATATGTTTTTGTGTAATAGTGCGTGAATGAATTAACTAAATAGTTACTTTAACTATTGGTACCCAACTTTCTTTATTTGATGCCAGACCATGAATGAATAGAATACTGGTTTTGGCATCTGTTCTTATTCCTTTTTCACAATAGCTAAAACTCGTTTGATCATTAATAGGTAATGTATATTTTGTGATGCCACATTTCATTTCATTTAATCTAAATCAAAAATAATAATTAAAAATAATAAGAAAAAGTTCGAACGTTTTTTGCTTTTCCTTACTTAAAATAGAGTTTTACTATCCATTCAGGTTTATAATACACAAAATAAGCTAAACTGAATGTTGATAGTGTTCCAGCTGCCGAAAAGATTAACGGCAACATGTCTCTGAAAAATGTTACATTTATTGTAAGAGAATGATATTTTTATCTAAAATATGAAACATCTTTTTAGTCAAACGTTAAAAATTTAGAAAGATACTAAGAAGTTAACATAGATTATAAAAATTAATTTGTGATTATGATTTTGTACGTAAAACTACATTATTCATGTTAAACAACGTTAAAGAAAATACTGGACTATATCTGATGTAAAATCGCCAGTCACCAAACAACTATACTATCTAAATGACATTTTTCGTAACGCATAAAACTAATTCATGATATGAATGATTTTTCATAAATGTACATAATTCTTCTTGATTATTGAAATCACATTGTTTGAAATCAGAAAATCTATAAATGAGACGACATTATTGATATTAGTCAGTTTAAAAATTTGAATAGAAATAAATTATTTCTTACATTTGTTTATGATCCAAATCAATGATATGTGACAACAATCTTTCTTTACAGGGACGTCCTCTACTGTCAATATCAACCGTATGTGTTTTTAATTTTATTACAAACGACTAGAAGAGAAAAAAACACAGTAAATATCATCTTTTAGTAACTGTATATTGAATAATACCTTTATTTTTTCATTTGTTCCTTCAACGAGGATAAAGATTGAATGTGGTATATGTAATACTCTACCAGTTAATTCAAATAAATTTGTCCAATCTTGAAGATGTTTCATATAAATTTTTGATGATCTCATATGATCAATTTTCATTAACGATGTCATTGTATTCAATGATTTATTTATTTCATCTGAACTCAATTTTTTATTTGTTATCATATCATCGACATAATTTTTAATGAGAATAAATAATTCATGTAATGTTAAATCTTCATTTATTTGTTTAATTTCATATATCGACTTTAAATGATTTAATTCAGCTTTTGTTAATGAACTACTATTGATACATATGCATCTTGGCAGATTATCCAATTGAACAGTAACAGAAAAATAAATAGATTTGTCTTTTTTATTGAATCCATTATACGTGATAGATGTTGGAATATCTCGAAACAAAACGAGAAAATTAAAACTTTTAAAGAGAAAAACGTATCTTATTATAACAAATTTTTGAAGTAAATAATTTAGAGTTTATCACTGTTCAAAACAATATCATGATTTCGATCTTTTTAAGTCGTAGTAGTCAATATTAAACATCTTTTTTACACATTCTTGCACGCTCACATACGTACTTTGACTATTATATTCAACAAATATTTCATTTTGACAACAGTATATGGCTTTTATTGCTTCTATTTCATCAATCATAGATTGTTTTCCATCCATATTTTTCATCTATTATGTTAAATAATTTCAATATATTTTTTCTGTAATATATTATCTCCTAAACACCAAATTTAATCGTTATACTTCTAGTCGAAATTAAATCCAGATGTTGCATGGCATGTTCTTAGATGATTTAGACTAATTGAAAAAATATCTAAAAAAACAGAATTGAAAGTAATAATTATAAAGTACATTATAATCTGACAAATAAAATATGCACTTTGTACACTCTTCGACGATGGTACTCGATTGACTCGATTCAAATTTAAAGATTCATATTTATTAGATCTCACTCTATGTAAGATCAGAAAAAATCAAATTAAAATAATTAGCATATCATAATCATGATTTTCTATCCGATATACATTGAAAGTAATTTCTTAAACTTTTATCATATTTAACAATACTGTTGATGAACATGTTGTTAACAAATACCATTAAATTTATAATATTCATCTATTCAATAGGTGAAGAAAAAAAAATCTAATGAAAACAGATTCTGACAATATACTGTTGACGATATAAAATGCATAGTTTTAGTAGCGAAAATACACTGTCATATTTAGAAAATATCCTCTTCTATAAAAGCAAAACATACGAATAGAAAAAAAAACATTTTTTAGTAGTAAAAAAAAAAAAAAGAAAAACATTTGACAAATATATACATCTTTAGAATGATGTTTGACATCAACATTCTCTCTTCTAATAATAAAAAAAATGTGCAGAAGAAAAAGAAAACAGATCTATAAAATAAGACAATTTGTACAAAATTTATTTTTATTATCATTTTTATTTAAATGATTTTGTTGTTTTAATGCACGTTCTTTTTCATTTATATTTCGAATAATTCTAATTAATTCAATAAATACTTCATCAATATTATATCGTTGTTTTGCACTTGTTTCATAATATGGTATTTGCATGTAACGTGCTGCTTGTTGACATTGTTCCAGTGATATTTGTCTTGAGCAATCTTGTTTGTTTCCAATCAATATCATACTAACATTATCACAATCTTTTATACGTAATATATCGCGATGAAATTTATACGTTTCATCTAATGAACTACGATCTGTTAAACTAAAAACAAGTAAAAAACCTTCGCCAATACGCATATATTGATCACGCATTGGTTTAAATTCTTCTTGACCAGCACTATCGAGAATTTCTAAATTTGCTATTTGATTATCAACTAAACATTGTTTAACATAACTATCTATAAAAAAGAAAATAGAGAATACTTTACATACATATAACTCTATTTTCTTCTATCTTTCTTACCTTCGATAGTTGGATCATAATCCGCATAAAAATAGGATTTAACAAACTGAATTGTTATTGCTGATTTACCCACACCACCGCTTCCAAGAACAATAATTTTATATGTTGTTTTCTCTTGTTTCCTTGATGTTGAACCATTTGAAACTGATTTCTTTTTACTCATATGTTTTCTGTCCATAAATATAACAACTTAAAAAAGAGAGAATACGTTTAACATTAAAAACTTTCTAATGTTTTAAACATAAAGTAAAAACATCTTATTAGTACAGTTCTGTTATCTTCTCGATCAACTCTGATCTCATGTTTTATATATTTTAGCGATAAATGGATTCCCGTATTTGGTAATAAAAAGTTTAACTTCTAACATTTTTTAAGCAATCATTCGAAAGAAAGTATTTTGTACCTCCTAAAAGTTACAATATAATCCTTCTTGTAAGTCCCCTGTAGAAAAGAGAGTGTCAAGAATAAAATTCTTTGATTAATGAATGTTCTCTTCGTATAAAAAATTGTTGTATAGATTAGCGACAAGTTTCAAAACAATATACACACATGATAATATAAATATTTGAGTACAGAACAAAAGAAATGAAGTTGATAATCGAGATTAGAATACTAAAAGAACTCAAAAAACAGATGAGCCCATTGAAAATGGTAGCTAAACTATCTAACACGATTACTCAATAGAGGAAAAATTATGAACATTCATATATGCACATTTTTTTTCTTCTATTGATTGACGAGTGTACCTTACCTTGTAAATAATTTATCTATGACCTCGTCATCACCATTATTATTATTATTAATGATTCTAAAATATGTTCATTCATTCGACGTAACTACATACTCCATTGTAAAAGACAATTTAAAATAGAAATCAAGCGGATAAATTAGTATTGTAATTTTTCTTCTTTTACTAAAACAATTGTTTATTGAATGTGTCTAATGTGCGTTTAGGAAACAGCAAATGTCATTTATAGTCCATGGACAAGAAATTTAATAATCTAAAATGACATAATATCTCATGATAAACATTCTCGTTATGATAAACATGAGATCAGTATAATTTTTATGATATGTCAACCAAGCTTTTATTCTTACCATCATACTAACAATCTAAATATCATATCAAAACTATGAGACTATATCATAATAGAGAATAATAATAAAATGAGAACGTTCATTTACTCCAATAGAAAAGAAAATTAACTGATTACTTAATTAAAAAAAATCTTTTGCATCAAAAGTACAACTAGAGTGCTCAAATGCTAATGAGTCTTCAAGTTGAGGCAGAAACTTTCGATTATTGAGAGAGATCTTGACAATTATTATTTTGCATCTTTGGATTTTTTTATTATTTATCTTACATAAGAATGGCAGCAGTTAGAGCTATAGTCTTATGATGGATGATATTGCATTATGGAGCCTTCTACTTCTCTCATGTTTCACAAACAAAATAATCCGTAGATTCTGGTTATCAGACTATAATGTACTTTATATATATTATCATGCTCTGCGTAATCTATATCCTTTTGTACAAATTGAGCCCTTTAGCGGATAAGATAGTAGTGATAATCAGACTGTTGATTATTTCATCAGTCGATCTTTCATACGAACGAATATTTCAGCGATTGTTTTTATGATGAGAGCGGGACCTAGCAATAACTCCGATCAAAGCCATTAGAAGCATCAATTTAAATTGGTCACTTCAAATTAATGTTCAGTACTTTCATGAAGATAATGCGTCTGTACGATTTATTATGATGTCTCAAATATTGTAGACGGCTGTTTCAGATCTATATTGTTCTTTTGCATCTAAACAATCTTCGTGATTCAGTCATTTTTAAAGGTTACTGACAAAAAAACAACAACTGAGCTTCAATAATTAACTGAACAGCAAATATGGTACAATAATTACTGACTGATTTAGACCGACAATTATACCTTTTTCGAATACAAATCTGCGCGAATTACTCGATTCTCTCTTACTTTGTGCTTTTGTGTTAAATCGAAACAGAACTTACAAAAGAAACAATATTGTCTGCTATGAGATACAGAAGTAGAATAATAATGAATAATAGAGCTTTTTTCTCTTTCTTTCTCTGCCCTGGACAATATAATGAAAATATGTATAACACAAAAATTTGTATATTACATATGCGACAAACTTAGTACATACTTAAAAGACAAAGAATGAGAAGAAAGAAAGAACGAACGAGTAAGCATAGTACGTGGTTGCAGAAGGATGAGATGGAGAGCGCAAGAGAGCGACAGTTTTCTTTGTTCAAATGATCCGTAACGTATTTCCAACACATTTTTCTATTTCAGAGTATAGGAACACGTCTCTCTCTCTCTCTCTCTCTCTTTCTATCCTCGTCTTAATAAAGATACAATACTAATAAAATACAATTGTCACAATATATGTTTTGCCGTCGATGTAATCTCCACACTTCACCCTTCACAGCTCTATATTTCTATATAGGCATATATGATATACTTTCACTTCCGCTTTTTATATCAACAAGTCTCGTTTCTTGTATCTTTTTTCAATCTATACGACTAATATATACTAAATAACATCAACGATCACCAAAAAATAATTCAAAACTAATTATATCAAACAAAAATAATTTTTCATGTAATAAGAGACTACAAGTTATCGAAATTTCTTCGTATTCTGGATTTTTTTGAGATTAGGATCTGAAATCACAAACCTGTACTGTGTAACTCTTTCGTTCAAAAAACATCATCTAACTAGTAAAACAATATTCATTTCTGTCGACTATATTACAGGACAACTCTACACAATAGGGAGTTTGATACAAAAATTGACTAGAAAAAAGTTCTATACAATGTAAAATAAAGTTACGTTGAAGTGTCACTATTAAGTTAAGATGAGAACTTTACAAAATGTCAACATTTCCGTAAGAAATTTTATTCGGTAACTTTTGCTATTGAAGATGCTTCTGTTACAGAAAGTATTTAGCTGCGATAATTTTTGTTCATATTCAACAAAAAAGCCGCGTAATAGCGATTGTTTTATAATTCATAGGTTAGTATATCTATTATGTGTCATAGTATTTTTATTTATAAGAATTAGTAGAACCTATATGTGTATGATGAGTATGTGTAATAAATTTGCTTCTCTCATACTAGTTTACATTTTCCCTTGATAATAAAGATGATAATGCGGTCTTAATACAATGTAAAGAAGGGGCAAATAGATTTGTTAAATGTCATTGATATAAACATTTTTGTTGTTTCAATAATTTAGTTATAGAATGATATATAAACACTTACATAACGATCTACTAATCGCAAATTATGAATAGAAGATCATCACACTATAAAAGAATATAGAAAAAACTCAACTCTCTTTCGAAAACAAGCATAGACGTATCGGATAAAAAAGATGTGGTCAACTTTCAATACAATGTGAATAGAAAGTTTTTGCTGTTTAAACCAGTATGTATTCTCACCTGCTACGATCTATTAAAAATATTTCAGATAAATAGATCCATTCATATATTTTGTCTGAATTACATACTATGAAATAAAAATATTCATCAACAAAAATATTGTGGTTACCCAATTTCAGAAAGAAAACAAGAAATTGATGGTATGTGCAACTTTTCTAGTCACACACAAATACAGACTGTTCATCAAACCGATAAATGTAATACGGTAGGCTCATGAAAACTTCTCTCTTTCTGCAGTGTTCTTTTATCACTCGAGTACATCACTCGTTTACCACTATTATTGGTTGCAGAGATTTGGAAAAAAGATAGTTCACATTCGATTTGCGCAAGTCTTTGTTCATTGTTATGCATTGTTATCGAAAACACACTTTAAAGAAAAGTTTGGAATAAGTCACTATCTTAGTGTGATAAGAATATCTTTGCCACTCAAGTTCTGACCTTCTTTCTTTTATTCGGTGTACTTTTTTTAAGTAAGTAAATGCGAACATTCAAGAATGACTCAATTCTCTATTGAAGCTCTAGCGATCAATGAATTTTGTGTTCCTTGTTCACTTCTCTAACAAATATCATTATTAGTGTTCTATGGTGAGTTTAAAGTTCGATTATGTTTTACCATTAGAAAAAAGAAACGAATAGAGAGTGTATCAGTTATGTAATAAAATTAAAAATTAAAAAATAGAGTCGTTTTAAATCACAGATAATTAAAAAACAAACAAATATTTGATGGTCCACACATACTGATTAAAAAAAATACAGTAAAATTAGAAAAAACTATCAGAAAAATACTTAACAAAAATAGAATCAAATGATCTGACGAAGTTGAATTTTAGATTAAAATCATTACAAAAATATCAAATCAATAATATGCAATTATAACAGAAAATATGTGACTTGAAAAGCAATCATTGCTCCCAATCTTCGTCATCGTCCTCACTCTCTTTTGTCTTCTCTTTTCGTATCACATCTATCATATCACCTATTTCACCAGCCATATTTGTTGATTTCTTCGATTTTTTCGGTTCTTCGGGCTCACCAACCATAAAATATCGACGCTTTTGCAATTGTATTTGAAGATTTTTCAATAAATCAGGAGCATCTTTTGCTTCTTCTTCTGCTCGTTTACTTAATTTTTTTTCCTGAGCATTTCGCAAATTATCTTTTTTAAAATTTTGTATTGCGTCTAACAATGGATTACCGCTACTGGTATTTTCCGTTATACTTTGTGTTCGATTCCCTTTATTCTCAGTTTCAAGTTCGTTACTATCAAACGCGGTTGGTGGAAGTGGTGGCGGCTGAGGTGTAGGAACATTGTTTATAGTAGATTCTACTGAAAAAGAGGGTGGAGGAGGTGGTGGTGGTGGAGGAATGGTAGATTGTGTTAAAGGAACAATTGCTGGTAAATCAGAGACGGTTGGAGGAGCTAAAAAGTATAAGTTAAGCGAGACACTGTCATTTGAAAAACAAGTTACTGCGCGAAAACTATTCAACTACTCAAATGAACTGTGCTTTCGTACTGGATTTCTTCACCATATGCCTGCTGGGAATAGTTTATAGGTCAGGCACGGAAGACATTGCGTTTAATTAATAAATAGATTACAGACCTGACACTTGAGTGTTTGTAGTTGCACCTGAACTAAATGCCAAATCGCGTACATCTGGTAATAAACTTGATGATGACGGAGCAATTGACTCCATTGCCCAGTCTTGAGCCATATCTGTTGCAAAATTTGGTAATTCATCCAAATTCTCAGGAAGAGTTAATGTTGGAACGGGACCCAAAACAGGAATGTACCCTATCTCACCACCCGCAGATATGGAATGGTAAAATGCAGGTAACGGCGTTTCTCCAATGCCTGAACATTTGGAAATAAAAGACAGTGAAAATAAAATACAGTTATAAAAAGACATTGAAAAAAACGAACGTACGTGATTGCGAATGTTCTTCAGTATTTTTTCTCATTTTGCCAGCAATTGATAATGGATCAATTCTTGTAGACTGAGTGTATCTAAACAATAGACAAAAAAGTGTGAAAGTGAAGAAAATGTTAAGCCCGTATGGAAAACTCAAGCGCAGTTAGTTTTGCTAAATTTGACCAAGCAGTAACATAGAAACAATGCACTATAAAGACAAAATCATCAGATACAATCGTATAATAAACTGACAATCCATGGATAAAATCGCGCATACTGAATACTTCGTCTCAACATACACTCACACTTCTCTCCGTTTTCACTTCAGTTCTAATCTCGCTTTCCTAAAGGTTTATTGATAGTGCATAGTTCTAGAAAATATTCACAGTTAAAGTAAAATATCTCCTCATAATAGACTTACGGATTTTCTTGTGTGTTATATTTCAGAAACGATAAAACGGATTTGATATTTGTCGAAGGTTTTCCGAGACCATGTAATTTATTAGTTTTTGTTTTTCGAATAGAATTACTATCATCAGTAGGTTTGAGAACAATTAATGTTTCATCCTTCGTTCTAGAATCTTTATCGTTAATATCATAAAATTTTTCATTTTCACTTAGTTTAAATGTATTCCATTGCAATGATAAACCGTGTTCATCGTTGTTAGCAGTGGACTCATCATCTATAAATATAGATTTATAGACTGAACGTTTTTGTTCGACGGGATAATGTGAACTAGAATGAATTTGAGTTGCTCGTTTTGATTGACGTATCCGTTCAATATGCACATTCGCATTATTGATTTTCTCATCAAATTTATTTAATTGTTGACGATATAAATTTAAACGTATAGTGATACGATTGAACATATCTAGACTGATTTGATCCATATAATCAAAAACGTCAGCCAGTTGTTTAGCGAATTCAGCACGACGTAATTCGGTCGAAATAACGGGCACACCATATAGATATTCCATTCGACAAGAAATATTTGTATCTTAAACAAAAAAACAATCATGAAGACTAGCATTAAATCTCTTATACATTAGGAAAACTTTTCTACTTTCATTCAAATCAACGCGTACGAATCATGTCAACCGTTTTCTAAAGTGGAAGTTATACTTCAGCACAACAAAGTCGAAAATTATTCAAAATGATTTCATTAGTTCTCACAAGGGACAGCAAGTGGATATAAATAAAGAACAACAACCACAATAAGTTTCATCGTAAATAGAAATAAAAACCAACAGAGCAAAGAGGAAAAACCAACAAATGAAGTAAACTTTAGAATGATAGTTCAGCGATATAATTTATATTGTTTAAAATAATTTTCAACATCTGATTTAACGTATGGTTTTACAGCAATGCAGGTCTTGATATTTTCTGGTTTTTCTAGCCATAAATAATGTTGAATGTCACCTTCTGTCAATGTTTTATGTGCCTGAATCAGCTCATCTTCTGTGGGAACATTCAAAATAATCTTGTGCATATTTGCTGTATCATTCAAATAATTTACAGTATAAACATCGTCTAATGTCTTAAATAAAATTGCACTACAAGCATGACACGCTTGAGCAATGAGAGCGCCGTCATTGTACGATTTGGATTTCTTTAAGTCACCACGCAATAGAATGTATTGAACAATCGGTGAGGTGTCGATGAGAGACGACGCCGACTTGGAATCATTGGTTGACATTAAGACCTACAACGCTTACAGAATAAAGTAAAGCAACGACTGTCAATATCACGATTGACAGAGAATAAGGTTCTCAGGAAAGAAACTGAATGTAAGTCGTCAGAAACAAATCGTCGATGTGTTCGAAACTGTTTGGATTAGAAGATCCGGCGGAATCTACTGAAGAGAGTATGTCATAGTTCACAGTGACTTCTTGAGTACTTGTTTAATGAACTATGCTAAAACGGATAATAATTTATTTGAACAAAGGAAAAGTAAACAGTAGAAGTAACAAAAAAAGAAAGATAAAATAGAAGATGACAATCAACTGTTGAAAATATGGTTAAATAACGACCGAAATTAAATGACACCGATCTAATGTTCAACAAAGTCGCATCTTGGTTCGTTTATACAATTGTTGATATTTCTGTAGTTTAACTATTACATACAGATACTTAATATATTGTGTAAAGATAAGACTATCTATTTCATTCTGATCTGGACTTTTATCAAACCAATCGGACCATGTCTACAATACGCGAGTTAACTCTGAATTAAGAAATTTGATTGGTGTTGCTTAGTAGCAACTCCAATCAGATTCCTTAATCCAAAATTAACTCTCATAGCGCGGATCGAGCCATGCCATTACCAGAAAATGTAACTAGGTCGAGCAAAATGGCTTGTTTTCAGCTAGCCCTTAAATAACGTCTGCAGCTACGTACGACTGCAGGAGTTTGTGAAAAAGAATAGCATGAGCAATCTTGTCTGCTAAAAAAATATACAGATCGGACAAGCTTATATAACAAGGGCACACTGAAGCTATTTATAATGAATGACAGAGGATGAGAAAACTACCATACGCGGAGCTTCCATTGTGGAAATAATGCGACATCTATAATACTTGCAATTGATTATTTGTACTAAAGTTTATCTTCTCCTTCATAGATCAGAGGTACTTACTATTGAACCATACGGAGAACCGAAAATTAATAGATGGGGATTCAAGGACGGATGAAGTAATGACATCTTTGTTAAATTCCTATATAGTGATACATTCAGTACGGAAATAGCATTATATGCGATTTCATGTGCAAGAATTCTTCTTGACTGTTGTTTTTTTCCATTTTGTGTTGTTATAGATTATCCTGTTGGTGGAACACTAACAGACACATGCTCTTACCACCGAGTTAGTCACAACAGACGCCTAAGAATACATCGGCCGAGTATGATGGAACAAGTTTTATTGTAGAGACCTGCAACCCGATCGAGTTCGAGTACCGATGTTTGCTTTTCATGAAGAAACATTTCGAGACTATTTTTTACGTTCAGGTAAACAAATGAGATTGTTCATAGAGTTTTGGAAGAAAGATACTTCAAATTTTTAAACAACCCAAAAATATAGTTTGAAGTCCTTTTATTGTTATCGAATAGACTTATCGTGGAATGAATTCCTAAATATAAGCAGAATCTTTGTCGTTGTTTTATTATGAGACTGATAGTTACGCGATACATAAGTGTTTGAAACCATTAGTTATCATGAGTTGAGAAATTCAGAGGCCACGATACTTTTGGATACTAGAGTATCATTCCATCTTTTTCTCTTATGCAAAAATAACTGTTTATTTATATAAATGATCTACATTTAAACTGGTAATCATATATGCAAATATGCGAACGAGCGTGGTAATCCAGTTTAACTTGAATTATACGAATAATTCGCCATTATCCACAGTTTACAAATCCACAACAACACTGTTTTCTTGTTCAGGAGTTCTTGGTACTAGTCTGGTTTTTGTTTAGTTTATTCGGGAGGAGATAGAAGCACACATTTTATTCACAAATAAACCCTTGCTCACACCAAAGTACATGCTCGTAACTGTATGTGTTAAACTGTTCTAGGCAGAAGACAACTTCCAACATTGCACGGAATAAGTAGAGCGACATATTTACTTTTGGCACAATTTTGTACTAAAGTGAATGTCTTTGCTTTGAATCCTGGGCTCTTGAGTTTTATTTTGCCAACTATATAAATGTACTTTTGTGCCATGTTTCGTTTCGATCTTCTTCTAAGCTTTGTTGATAGTTTTGTAATACAAAAAGGTTGAAGGAGAACATTTGACTTTCATCTCCATGTCGATGACTGTTTTGTTTTTGCTAATAGAAGACCGGTTTTTGAAATTATTGGCACAATGCCACCTTTTCCTTTTTGTTCACGGTAATCTTTATCGGATAGTTCTATTTGTGCTTGTTCTTCATCGTATAACAAATCAAAGTTTCCTAGAATTAAACGAAGACGGCAAACTACACTAGTGCCAGTGCTTCTAAGAGATGACATTTTTCACATTATTTCTAACCATGCAAACCACACTTCTCGAAAGAAAACATTCTGCTGACTGCGTTACGTCTCTGACTCTCTTACCTAATGCTTCCCTTGTAATTGTTTGTGGCTTGTTTTTAATATCTGGTATTTCACCGTTTGGCACAACAATATTTAATACATCATTTAGCCTAAATCAAATGAAAAATGGTATGTATTCAGCTAATGAAGCTCCAAGCAAAGAATAACGCACAATTTAAATTTCATAATGCGATCATTTGATGTCGTCGATGTGAGTGAGGGGCTTGCATTCACTTCAATCAGCCATGCCTTTAAATTGTCGTCGATAATAATATCGTAGCCATAACATTCAAAACAATGACGATCACTTGTAATCACGCTCTAGAAAGACTGAGGAAGGCGAAGTGAATACAGTCTGAATGATAGTTATTCGCCCTAGATTCAACTTACCGTCACTGCTTTGAGTGAATGAACGATGATCCATGACATTTCATCGAAAAGTCGATCAGTAGGCTAGAGGAACAAATTCTAATTCATAAATAAAACTTGACAGCATCGAAACATGTTCGATTTTTCACATCCTATGTACATTTCGTTCCATTTTGTTTCGAAAAATGACTAATTCATAAGCCTACCTTTTTTCCTCTGGTACCTTCAAGATACAATTTAAGATTGTCTATACTCCATTT